TAGAAGATCCCCGGTTTGCGTCCCGGTGAGGATGCCCGGGATATTTCTGCATGTTCTCCCCATGCAGCTTGGGTTTTTCTCTGGCTTCCTTCCACAGTCCAAAAACATGTTGAGGTTAATTGGTGATGCTAAATTGTCCGTAGGTGTGAATGTGAGTGTGCTTGGTTGTCTGTCTCTAAGTGTAGCCCTGTGATAGACTGGTGACCTGTCCAGGGTGTCCCCTGCCTTCACCCTGAGTCAGCTGGGATAGACTCCAGCCCCCCACGACCCTAGTGAGGATTAAGCAGTGTATAGATAATGGATGGATGGTTAGCGCAAACAGTTTATTTTTAGTGAATTGTTAAATGAGGCATGTAAAATGAATATCACAATTTTAGGATTAGATTATAGCCTTGTTCTTGTTTTTGATGTATTTTTTCCTCCACTTTTGTCCAGCTCCTTTTTTGTCCCTGTAGTATTTTATATATCAGTTTGTGAGAATTTTGGTTGTGAGTATTTAAAACATTTATACCATTAGGGTGACTAGGACAGTGGTGACCATTATTTGATGCTGAATTACGATTGCTCAAAAATAGATTTTTCGGTAGAGTAATATCTGTCCATTCATTATTTTAAAGATCATTGTTTTGCACAAGCTAAAAGCTGTGCACCAGCATTTGTTACTACATTTGTCCCCCTCATTGGCTGGTTTGTTGGCCTTCTTTTACAGTCCCAGAATACACTCCAGGATTAACCAACATGTCTGACTGTGTGTGAGCCTGTTATTTCCACAGTGGCGTATTATTCCACATTTTCAGAGATCAAAAATTCACTAACAAACTCCCATGAATACATAATGACTGGAGCAGTGGGATCGAAGCTGAAATTACATTAGCATATCACCCCCGCCTCCAAGCTTGCCATTCTGCAGAGTTGTGTATTACACGCTTGATTCTCCTTACACGGCCCGCTCTCGGGTGGAAAACGCCATGACAAACCCCTGGCCATTGATCGGACCAGTGGTTCACCAGCTGTTTCCAGTGTGGCCATTAGCACTGAATCCCCTGTGGAGATCGTATGTGCTCTGCAGGGCCTCAAGATGTTGGTGTTTTGAGCTGTTTAGGCCGCTGACTGTGTGGGTAAAGCTGTGACCAGCCATATGTCCCATCCACCACCAGTTCAGTCCTGCCCACACTGGCTCACATGATGGGTTGACTGTCATAAAATGGCTGAATGGAGATACTGAAGAGATGGAGGAGGGGTGAGAGAGCAAGAGAAGGATGGATGATGGAGTAGTATAAAAATAGAAAAATGTGGAGCGTGATGAATAGAAAGAAGGATGAATGTGAGAATAAAAGAGTTTTTTTTCCCACTAGATCATCACTCCTTGTAGCCTATATATTTACTCAACCGTTTCCTGTGGCTTCACACTCTGTAGTACAGTACAGCGTAGTACAGTGTTGTGCTCTATGGAGCATATCTGTAGCCTGCGGGACTCAATACGGAGTGCGAGAGCGAAGATAGAACTCACTTTAGCTGCATTAGGTCATGTTTGAGTGGTTAACCAACAGTGACAGGGCAGCACTGATGAAGTAATACATGTCACAGGACTGCTTACTGGCAACTAAATGCAAAGGCAGTCACAAGGAGGATAAGAGGAACAGTAGCACCTATTTTCCCACTAGTTGCAGGGTGGAGTGAGTTCTGTTTTTTTTTTTTTCTTTCTTGAGAACAAGATACTCTCGTTTCCTCGACCCTGTTGAACCTGGCAACCTGGCTCTCATTTAATAGTGTAGAAATAATTCACCTACGAGCAGCCATTATTGTGAACTATATTTTACTGTATTTGTGTCAAGCCATTTTGAGGTTTTTGTAATTGTTGTGATTTCACAGGATTGTACTAATCACACATATACTGATAAGTATGTCCACGGTGGTAATGTCTGTTCCTTTTTTTGTAAACTTTGGGTTACTGTAGATGTTCAGGTGTTGTGATCTTGCCTCTGAGCTCATACTAACTGGAGATTTGATAGTATTTCACCATAGTTTAGGGCTGAACGATAGGAAAAAAAATATCATAGTGTAATTATTATGACAGATAATACAGTTTACAGTCTTAGCGGGAGAGGTAGTTTTTGCATTTCGTATAAACTGAAACAGATATAAAATAGATGGTGTGATTTTTGCTGTAGTTTGTACCAAGCAGACTTGTACTCTTACATCTGGCAGATAAGATTTGTGGATCCGTAGCACCATGTTGCTTCAGGTAATATGATGTGTTGTTACACCTTTTCATGCAGCTCCTGTGATTGATTTGGATATTGTATTTGGCCAAATTGCAATTTTAACAGTATTTCTAAACATTGTTCAGCCTAACTATACATGTCTGCTTTTAATCATTTCAGATGGCTTTCTTAGATGTTAGGAATGAAACATTTCCGAACCAGCAAATGCACAGTTTTTGATATTTTCTTGCAGTAGTTTTTCTCTGATATTACATGTTTCTCAATTGTATAAAATGTTAGAAAATGGTAATAAAAAAAATAAATATTGCTCAGTGTTTTCCAAAGCCAAATATGACAAACATATTATTTAATTCACAGCTTTCCTGTCCCTCTGAAATATTCACATTTAACAAGCTGTTACGGGGCAATTTTGCCTTTTTGATTTTCTTTAAAAACGTATTCAAACAAATCACTCTGTTATCAAAATAGTAGGTGATTAATTTAATAGTTGACAATTAATTGAATAATTTCCAGACTTCTACTGCCAAGATTTTGTTAGGTTTTTTTTGTAAAAAAAAAAAAAAAAAAGAAAGAAAGAAGAAGCTTTTTTCCCATTTTTAAATTTGACTATTGTAAGGATTCTGAAGGCCTTTAATAAAAACACTAAATGTAAACTTTTTTGGTTGTGTTTGAACAAAGGCAGGCAGCTGAGCTTTTTAGCAGACACCGTTCAGTGTGATTGATAGTGATCTGCAGTAATGGACCCGTTTTAAGGTGCATCACGCTCACAGCAGTTGTGTTTGCGCTTCAGAGATGATTCTAGATCAGGACACGCAATGAGCACTTGTGTGTCTGGACAGTGGTGCTCAATGAAACGTGATGACTCCATTTGTAGAGGAATTACACGATCGACTGGTTGATTGATCTCAGTTATGACAGGCGTGTAAGTCATCCAAATTGACGCTTTGCATTTTAGAGGGCATGAGCTTAGCTAAGACTCACGTTACAGATCCTACAAGTGATCGTAAATCTTTGCCATCATACATACATCCCTGATCTCTCACAGTGGAAAAGATTCGCCAGTCTGAGCGCATCAGTGCCCTTCTCTTGGCAGAAAAGCGATACGAACAAGAGGATGACAAAAGCTGCACGAATGTCGGTGCTTTGTGCTTCAAGGGCCAAGCCTAACAGCCATTATAATCCTTTTTACATAAAGACATCTCATGTGGGTGGCAGACAAACATGCTGTCAGGAGAAGGGCATGCACTGATGTTGTAGACATATGGAGGGAACAACTGTCAAGAGTCTGCTCAAATCTGATTGCAGTTGAGTTGGCAAAATCCTGCATCACTGGTTCTGCATTTTAAGCCAGAAAATGATGTTAGAATGACCAGATGCTGCAGGAAATCATTTTTATTTCTAAGGATATGTACTGTGTATTAAATAAAGGATTACATTGAATGATCATCTGTTTTTAGTCAAATATTCAAGATTTAGTCTAAATGAAGTTATATAAAAGCAGCCTCTTGTTTTCTTTTCATGTTAGATTTTCTTGCAAATCCAATCTTAAGATTTTATTTGATGCAGATCTGTTATATCTTGTAATGCCTCCATCTGGGTCAGAAAGGAATAAATAACTGCTGATCTGTATGCTGAATAATTTCTGTATACATTACTCTGCAGCTCACCTGCTCCTCCTTTAGCTCTGTCAGCGTAACATCTTTGGAATATGAAAGAATTTCCTCATTAGCTCAGCAGTATTTCTCTTAAAGCACTTCATGAAAAATATTTAGAAAGCTAGGTTTAGTGGCATTTGGTCAGGTGTTACAGTATGCCTAATACACAGTTTAATTAACACAGATAAGGCTTTTTCTGTGTTCTAATCTGAAGAAGCAGAACTGAATGTTAAACTTCCCTAATATCCACCCCTCCAACAAACGCATGGACAAATTACCCCTGCTGCTTGTCTTCTCCTCACCCCTCCTCCCCCGTCCCTTCCCCCTCCCTGTCACTGTCTGTCATAATAACCTCTGTCTTTAAATTCTGGGGGAGGGCGCCTACTGTGTGTCTGATTGACTTGGGTGTGGTCGGAGGCCTCTCTGTAATGCACACAAACACAGAGGTCTATGCAAATACACTCATACAAATACATGCATCCATGCACAGTTGGATACATGTATTTGTATATGTGCTTTCCCGCTCGCTCAGTCACCCACTCCTCCTTTTTGCATATTATCATCATGCTTCCTGCATTCACACTGCCTCTTGGCACAGTTTATATGTGAGAGTCCATTATTGTGCTGGTTTGTGGGTGTGTTAGCGTCTAAATAATACACTTCCGCTGGTACTTTTTCTTGTGTGCGAGTGTGTGCACGGTGCCACAGTGTTGTCAGTCAGTCACAGCGTGGTCCTCCCTGTAACACAAAGACCCTGTCAGCAGCAGCAACAGCCCTGTGTGAGTGTGTATTTGTGTGTTTGTGCTCCTCCTATGTGGAGGTTGGAGGGAGGCAAGAAGAAGGAGGCGATGGAGGAGGGGGGAGCTGAAATTATCGGGGTGGAGGGGATTATTAGAAAAGGGGCCAGAGTTGTTTTTATGGACTCATCTCCAGAAAATGTCAGTTGACATGCTCCACTGATCTCTTTGTGCCGCTCTTTGGCTCAGACTCTGAGGATGGAGTAACGCTCGAGTTTAGGGCTGTAGTGGTATTTTCTGAAACTGTTTTGAATAACTTCCACTGGTTGTGCTGGTTTATTTTCCATATATTTAAAATTCTCTCACTGTGTCCCTTCATGCAGCCCTTCCATCCCATGGTGAACCTGCAGTGCTCTCCAGAGCTCAGGATGTTCCTCTGCGCCCTCTACGCCCCAGTGTGCACCGAGTATGGCCGAATGACTCTGCCCTGTCGCCGCCTCTGTCTGCAGGCCAAGAGCGACTGCTACAAACTAATGGACATGTTTGGTGTCAGCTGGCCAGAGGAGATGGACTGCAACAGGTTGGCACAACAGTAATAATTCTTTTCTGCTGGATTTATCTCAGTGGCGACAACCCCTTTGTGGGAGCAGTAATAAATCAGCAGCAGACCAGCAAGTGTGCTGAAAGTGATTTATTTTGACAACCGTAAAACAGAAGAAGTTGAGCGATTAGAAGAAAAGATTGAATATTAGTTAAGCTGATCCACAGGATTGCACCAAAAAATGCCCTCTAAATATAAAACAGTAATAAATCAATGTGAACGCTTAACTTTCATGATAGCACTGGAATGTAGCGCTTACTGATCTCTGCATTGTTTTTCGATTTCTTTGTGAGAATCTCTTAGATTTTTAAGAACTGGTTCCTGAAAATGACAATAATACATTTTTAGACTTTGTTTTCTTGGAGGGCATATTAGTTTTTCAGCCAGAAAATTGATTCAGTCGAGTCAAATCCAACTAAATACGTCAACAACAAGACAGTGCACAGGCATGGCCAATACAGTATCGCAGCAACATTGCATTCAGAAGTTGTGAGAAATGAAGTGTTGAAGGCAGCAGCTGAAGCTGAATAGTCTTTTCCTAAACACTTTTCTGTGACCTCAATAGAAAACTTCATGAGGTCAAGGAAAGATGTGAAGGACAATTAATGAGGACATAAGGAAAAGATGGTGCTAAAAACAATCTGACTGCACTTACACTATAAATGTTAATCATGTGATCAGTTGACATTGTTGAAGTGGGTCTGCCGTGGACGGTGTGTCACTTTGAATATTGCAGGTGGATTCTTGTGCATTATTCTCTTTCCTTTCATAAAGGATGTATCAGTGTATCTGATGCTGAAGGATAAAAGAGAGGAAGTGCTGAAGCAACTTTCCTTAGAATTTTGGAGAATCCAACCAACTCTTATCATGGCTGCTCCTTCTCGATCATTTCACTTAGAAACATTCCTGAGCACAGAAGACTATTGGACTGCAGCCAGTAAAATAAATGAAAGTTTCTTTAAACACGTGGCAAAAAAACCTGTAGTATTCACAGTCTGTTAATCTGTTGAATATTTTCTTGTCTAGTCTATAAATTGTCAGGATAAGGTTAAACAATTTTTGAAAAAGCCAAAGGTGACATCATCAAATGTTTAGTTTTGTCCACAATACAAAGATAATTAGTTTATTACTATAAAAGATGAAAGAAAACAAAAAATCTTCCCCAAAGTTTCAGCTAAAGAGGTTCATTACTACAACATCCTATCCTTATTCCCAGGCAGCTTTCTTCTAAAAAAGACAAAAATACTGGATTTGGCTTGTTACACAAAAGGCCGTGATTATGTAACTTAAAAAATAAAAGCAGTGAATGCTTATTGGTTGGATTATTTGTGTTTTGACAAGATTCAAGTCTTTGCAGGTTCTTCTCCTTTATACTGTACTCATATGACCTGTAACCACCAGGTGCCTGGAAGGTAGAAAAATGTCTGTAGCAATTTAATAAAAAGCTGTGACGAGCTTTTGAATGTGGTTGACTGTTACATAATGTTGGCAGCATGTGCAGTGTGTTGTTGAAGGCTTAGCAGCTGAAAGTACCCCGAGGTCATCACCTCTCGTCTCCTCCCAGGTTCCCAGACTGTGATGAGCCCTACCCCCGTCCTGTAGACCTCCTGTCCAGCTCAGACACGACCGAGTCGCCCATCTCCGTCCAGAGAGACTACGGCTTCTGGTGCCCCCGTGAGCTCAAGATCGACCCTGAGTTTGGTTATTCCTTCATGGGGGTTCGTGACTGCTCTCCTCCGTGTCCCAACATGTACTTCACACGTGAAGAGCTGATGTTCGCCCGCTACTTCATCGGGGTGGTTTCCATCGTCTGCCTGTCCGCCACCCTCTTCACCTTCCTGACTTTCCTCATCGACGTGTCTCGATTCCGCTACCCAGAGCGACCAATTATTTTTTATGCCGTGTGCTACATGATGGTCTCTTTGGTGTTCTTCCTGGGATTCCTGCTGGAGGACAGAGTTTCCTGTAATGCAGCGATTCCTGGGAGGTTCAGGGCTTCAACGGTGACTCAAGGCTCCCATAATAAGGTCTGTCCTTGACTTCATCTTCTCTCCTCATTTTCGGCTGCCTTCACCTTGATAGTAACCTTTTTTTCCCGTCTCTCCCAGGCCTGCACTCTGCTCTTCATGGTGCTGTACTTCTTCACCATGGCTGGCAGTGTGTGGTGGGTTATTCTGACCATCACCTGGTTCCTGGCTGCTGTACCTAAGTGGGGCAGTGAAGCTATAGAGAAGAAGGCCCTCCTCTTCCATGCCTGTGCCTGGGGCGTCCCTGGCGTCCTCACCGTCACTCTGCTCGCCATGAACAAGATCGAAGGAGACAGTGTCAGCGGTGTTTGCTTTGTTGGTCTTTACAACCTGACAGCACTGCGTTGGTTTCTGCTGGCTCCACTGGGACTGGATGTAGTGGTGAGGAAGAGTACTGTAGAAAACACTGCAAACACACTTTACTCTCTCATCGGCTTAGTAGCTTAAAATTAGCTGCAATCTGTAGATATTTTTAATTTTTTGTTGTAAATTACCACATTCTTTCCTATGTAATGTTTAATTTTGCCTCACAATTTAATTTACTAAATAAAGCCGCTGACAGACCGATGGTCATCCTTTCTCATGCCATCATAGGTGGGTGTGGCGCTGCTGCTAGCAGGTATTGCCGCTCTAAACAGAGTCCGCATGGAGATCCCACTGGAGAAGGAGAACCAGGAGAAACTGGTGAAGTTCATGATTCGTATCGGCGTGTTCTCCGTGCTCTACCTGGTTCCTCTGCTGACCGTTCTGGCCTGTTACCTCTATGAGAGCAGCTACAGAGCCGTCTGGGAGACAACGTGGGTCCAGGAAAAGTGTAGAGACTACCACATCCCCTGCCCATATCAGGTAATATACATAATATCTAACTGTGTATTGTATCATTGCATATCACAAATAATTTGCAGCCTGTACTAGTTTTGACTAGTAACTCCCAGTATCATGACTACCCTCCACAATGAGGCTTGAAATCTGCTGGAGTACATTATGTGTTTTTACTGCTAAGTTAAAAATATATATTTACAGCTTCATTGTTACAGGCTAATAATAGTTGCATACATATTCTTTGTCATGTGGTGCTGACATCAGAACCTGCCATCTAATTTTAAACAAACACATAGTGTAGGAATAGATAAATGTCTCCTTTCTGACAGGAGTGATTGAGATTTGTAGGAGACGTGATAATATTATCTTGCAAACATTCACACGCAGACAAAACTGTTGGTACCCCTTGGTTAATGAAAGAAAAACCCACAATGGTCACAGAAATAACTTGAAACTGACAAAAGTAATAATCCTGAAAGACTGAAAAAAGTTGCTGCAATTGTGTTTGTAGACATCTTTTCCAGCTAAGCAGCTGTGTAGCAGCTGGACTAACGTTACTACAGAGACCGAGTCACTCCATCATGTAGATCAGCTGTGATGTGATATCAAACCACTGTGAAGAGTATAAAACTATTACAGGTTATTTACTGTGAAAGACTGCAGCTCGTTTTGTTTTGTCTTATATTATAGCAATTTTAAATTAAAGCCGCAAGCGGCAATGGAAGGGTCCTCGCCCTACGCTTGTCGGCCTTCACGCACGGCGGGGTGTGGCGCAAACCTGCTCCGGGCGGGACTGTGATCCGGCATGTCGAGTTTGGGGCAGATCGGAGCAAGTGTGGCCTAGTTACGAGCCACTTCCTGTTTAGTGGC